CTTTGTTCGTGTCGTTTTCTTTCTGTCTTCTGTGTTTCTTTTCACCATTTCTTTGACTTTTTGTTTCTTTATTACACTTTCTTGTCTATTTTTTCATCTTTCGTTATCTCCCATTTTCTCTTCTTCCTCTTTCTTTTTTCATACTTGCCCATTTTCTTCTTTCCTTCCCTCCTTCCCCTTTTCTCCTCAGCTCACCCTCCATTCAATCCTTTATTACCGCTTCCTCCTTCCTCCTAATCCCTTCATGCCTTCATCCTTCTTTATTTCCCTCCACAATCTTCCCTTCCTCCATTTCTTCTTCTCCCCCTCACCACCCATTTCCCTCCTTCTCTCCCTCCCTCCTTTCCTCCTTCCTTCCCCACCCTCACCCATTCCTCCATTCTCCTCTCCCTCTCTTCTCTATCTCCCCTCCCTCCCTCTTCCTTCCCCCTCCATTCTCCTCTTCTCCTCGATAAATCCTCCATACTCCTCTCCCTCCTTTTCTATCCTCGCCTCCCGTCCCTCCTCCCTCCCCACCCACCACCATCCTCCATTCTTCTCCTGTCACCTTCTTTCCCTCCTTCCTTCCCACCCTCCATCCCTCCTTTCTCCTCCATTCTCCTCCCCTCTTTCTCCTCCACACCCTCCCTCTCTCCTTCCTTCCCCCCCCCATTCTCCTTTCTCTCCTCCATTCCCTCTCCTCCTTTTCTTCCCCAACACCCCCTCCTTCCCTCCCTCCGCTCCTCCCTCCTCCCCTCCCAACCAACCACCCATCCTCCATTCTCCTCTCTCCTCGCATTCTCTCTACTCCTTTTCTCTCCCATCCTCCTCCCTCCCTTCCTACCCTCACCTCCCACTCCCTGCTCCTCCTTCCTCCTCCCTCCCGTCCTTCCCAAGCCGCCGCCGTTTTAGCAAGGCAGTCCGGAGCCTCGCCAAAGAGAAGCCTGTTTGGCCTCGACTATCACAGAGGCAAACAAAATTTAGCCTCGTACTGTCGGAACACGTCGATAGCGATCACCTTTCGCCGCTAAACGAGTCGAGGGATTCCAATAGACATGGCGAATTCCATCGGGTCTATTCCTTTTTATGTGTTTTTTCGTTTGTTCTTGGCTATTTTGGGGGTATTTTTTTTTTGGGGGAGGGGGAGGGATGGTGCAGGGTGGGGGAGGAGGGAGGAGGGATGTGCGTGAAGGGTGGTGGGGGGGTAGGTGGATGGGCAATGGGGGAAGGGGGGGAAGAAGGGGAGGGAGAGTGTGGGGGTGGGGGTATTTTTTGGGGAGGGAAGAAGGGAGCGGGGTGTGTAGGGGGAGGGGGGTTGTGGGAGGGAAAAGGGGGAGGGAGGGGAGGGGGGGATGAAGGGTGGGGGTAGGCGGAAGGGCAAAGAAGGGGGG